GTCTGAGTCTACTGAGTGGATCAGATGGTTCTAGTTAAACTGGATCAGAGGAGTCAGCAGCTGGAGTCGATCAGAATCACTCAGGAGAAGTTAAGAGGTCATGAAGCTATAAGAACATTTGATAAACACAACTTTCTACATCATCAGAACTCATAACTGGAGTTGCTGCATGTATATTTATGATCCAGCAGATTTTGTCATATCTCCAGAAGACCTTTAATAAATCTATGAAAGAACCAAACTCCTTGTTTTATTTTTAGTTCTAGGAGTCGCTGAAGCTCAGGACTGACGTGATGAACGTGGTCTTTACAAGTGGATGGAAACCGTTGTTCAGACTGTGTCTCTGTAGTTGTGTTCTGTTGTTGCTGCAGAGGAACTGAGTTGTGTTAATCTCCTCTGTCTGTTCTTCAGTCGCGTATGTGAAGGATCGGAGGTTGAGTGGAGGTCCAGGTACTGGTTCCTCCTCACCGTCACCTCTGACCTCCTGCTGCCCCCCTTTTCAGTTTCAGTGCTGATCGGTTCTTTTTTTTTTACGTTTGCACTCATTTCTGGTTGTTTCTTTTACCCTCGAGGGCATTGAACCCCATCTTTGATTTGTCAGAGATGATTTTTCCTGCCAAAGGAAAAATACACTGCCCTCCTCCCCCCATCCCTTTACCATTGCATCTCTTTGCATGGCGTGCAGCAGCTCTGAGCGAGTTCTCAATAAAAAAAAAAACTACGATAGTTAAAACTGCACAAACTGCTGACAGAAGCAAGTGTTTAAAGGTGAACCACTGAGATCTGAAAGCTTTAATTACAGTTTTCAGTTTGAAGCTTTTGTGCAACGAAGCCTCAAATTACGATTACTGTAATTTTCTTGGAAAACTGCTTTCCAAGAACCAAAATAGACTCGTCAGAGGGATGCTTTGAATTATATACTCTCTATCTGGTGACCTAATTACCTCCTTTAAAAAAAAGAAGTCTTTTTAAATGTTAATTTCCATGTATGTCCCCCTGATATGTAAATGAATTCAGGATTATCAGCTCTCCAAAGCTGCATTAATAGGTATTCTTTGGAACGTATGATGTTAAAGAGAACAAAACAAAAAGAAAATTATCCCAAAATCTGCTGTTGTTGAGCGTTTTAGCATCTTTGAACTCATTGTTTTGGGTTTTCCAGCAGCAAAAAGCAGTTTTTAGTTTAAAAAAAATCAAACTCAACCCAAAATAAATGGCAAACAGACAAAGTTTAGCATAAATGGACACCAAACCCCATGTTTTTGTGTCTTTTAGCTCCCTGTTTATCACTTATTATCACAAAACTGTGATAATCCCAAAACTAAATGGCAAACTGACAACATTTAGCACAAAGAGAAACACAAAACATCCACAGAGACACACAACGATCACGTTTTAGTGTCTTTTAGCTCACTGTTTGGGTTTTTCACCTGACAAATGTCATTTATTTCCAGCAGAGGAAAGCACACAAACAAACACCAAACCACCAGAGTTCTAAAAGTTAGCTAGCTAGCTAGCTAGTTAGCCCTGAATAAACAGTTTGTTAGCCGTATATATGTGTTTGTGGAGCCCCGAGTGCATGATGCTGACAATGTGTCTGAGTTCAGGCACATTACCAGCTTTGACTAACAACCATCCCAGCTGTTGTTTGAGCCAATCAGCTGCCTTTTTTCTCACCAGCTACCAAGAAGGAAAATCTTCAGTTCTCCACATTAGCATGTTCTCCCCACATCCTCCCAGCATCGCAGTACACGCTTTAGACCGACCTATCATAACTCCGGGTTCTCCTTCCTCCTCCCAGTGCCATCGGCCAGTATGACCCGTCTGGCCCGGTCCAGGACGGCCTCCCTGACCAGCGCCAGCTCCATGGACGGCCAGCGTTCCCGGGCCTGCACCCACTCCGATAGCACGGAGGGCGTCGGCACCGTCAGCCAGACCATGGAGGTGTCCTGCTGAGGCGCCTCGGGTTGGAGGGAGGCGGGATGGCGGGATGGCGGGACGGTGGCAGCGGCGGCGGCGTCTCTCCGTCTTCGCCCGTCTCCTGCAGATCCTCGTCCCTCCTCACTGTAAAATACCATCAGTATTCCACTGAAACACCTTTGAATCCACCTCAGCTCCCTTTCAACAGCTGTTTTCGTTCTTGAAGTGTCATTCTTGTGTTTGCTGAGTGTCTCCTCATTCTTTGCCTGCAACCTTTTAAACCCCGCCCCCCTCACCCCCCCAAACGAAAAACTACACCTGTCTGTCAACAGCAATAAAGAGCTGCAGGTTAGTGTCTGACCAGAAGGGGGCGCCGCACAGAAACATCTGGTAGCAGGTTTTTGTGATAACTTCTCTCTCTCTCTCTCTCTCTCTCTGTGGTGTTTGTAACGGTTTTTTACGTGTCTTGAGGTGTGACAGGAGAAAGGGGTGTGTCCAGGGTTTGACGGACAGCAGAACACAGCCTATCGTAGCCAAGTGCACCTGTAGCGCTTAGAGAGGATTCGTTAGCTTTCGTTAGCATAGCTAGAGCACAGCATGCAGGTTTAAAGCTGCACTGAAGCAGCGCGACTCTATATCAAACCACAATTAGAAAGAAAAAGAGAGGCGTCGTCGGCGTACGAGTGTGTTTTTTATTATCGTATTAATTCAAAACTCCATCTAAAGTCTGTAAACTCGTATTTTCCTCGAGTCGCTACACCACCAGGGAACCTCACCTGCTTTTATTACTTTTTTTTTGCAAAATGACAATCTGGATCAGCTCATTTTCAAGTGGGCCTAAAATGATTGATGGAAAATTATTAGCCAGCCTAAATTCTGTGATCACAGCTTCTTCGATGTGAATATTTTCTGGTTTCTTTCCTCCTCGGTGACAGTCAACTGAATATCTTTGGACAAAACAAGACACTCATTGATATTTTTCATTATTTTCTGCCCAAACAACTAGTTGATAATCGAGAAGATAAAAACTCCAGACAGGCCCGACCGATGTCTCGTAACTAAATCTAATCCAAACGTTCCCTTTTTGTTCCGTTTGGAGCTGCATTAGTGCGACGTTGCTGAGTGCAGCTTTAATCTGTGTGTCATCTCACATTTCTGAGACAATCCACCACATAATTCTAGGATAGACGACGTATTTATGAACACGTATATGCATGTGAATGTAAAGTAATCTAGTACCAGAGTAGTAACTGAGTAGTGTTCTTCATTAGCACCTTAATAGTCGAATAGCGCCATCGTCAGTGTGTAGCCGCTGGACCTGGTTCAGCTCGTTGACATGACAATCACACTCCGATCCAAACCAAACCAGACCAGGAGGGTGGAGGGACCGAGGTGGAACCCGGGCCGACCCGACACCGGCACCAAAGACGCTTCCGTTACAGAGCCCGGCCCCTCCCAGAGGATAAACCAAAGCTGCACACACACACTCTCACACTGAAGGAAAAGCTGCGTGGGCCGGGTTCTGCAACGGAACCAAAGAACAGACAGTAGAACCGACATCGTGTGGTGTCAGTTCTGATGAAGACATAACCTCACAGTGTAGTTCGTAAACAAGTGTAGCTGTAGATTAGTGAAGCTATGTGCTGCTGTCTGTGATCCTGGACCACGTGAACCCTCGGAACCCGGGCCGGTTGTTGGCGGCACGTTTTTCTTCACCGTGGGCTCATTTTTAACTGCGATATAAAGTTCTGCACGTCTACGGAAACAGAACAACCAGGACGAGAAGTGAAGAGAACTCAGGAATGTCTCCTGATAGTATGACACAGTTAGAATGACAGAAATCTGACGAAAAGTTGAATTATTTCATTTACAAAAATTGACAACACCTGGAATCAACTTGTACCAACCCTGGAAGAAATGGTTTCGCTTCACATCATGAATATTTTACAGATACATTACCTGCAGTTCACTTGAAAACATACGTGACTGTTGGTTGCAGCCTAGTCAGTCTTGGCTTTGTGGTTGTCTTGAGGAGCTCAGAGTTTTTTCCAGAATGTGACAAATGGTTTATTTTTGGCGTATTCCTAAATGGTGGAACCTTATAACAATTTTAAGCTTAGATTTGGTTTGTCAAGGATTAGAAGTTCAACAACCATCAGAAAGTTGAAAAATCCAGCAATTCTTTCAGTTTCTTGTTGGTACATTTTAGCCGATTTTTCCTTTATTGTTGTGCTAACGTGCCGTTCAAGACCCGCTTTGGGGTTCGGAGGGTTGATGCAGATCAGAGTTGGGGTCCCCTGAATTGTTTAGCTTATTAATTAATGTACAGTATTCATGCACTTCTCTGCTTTCAGTTTCACTAAAATAAAAAACCCTTTGGTCCCCTGTCAGAAGGGGCGTAGCTTCCAATCGCTGAGGTGTGCGCTTCCCTGAGGCGGCCTGTAAGGGGCGGGGCTTTTTTGGCGCCATTTGGGCTCCAAGCTCGGAATGTAGGGCAACCCCCAGCCACCTTAAAAAAAATAAAAATAAAAAAAAAATAACCCCCTTTCCCCTGAAAAAATCACAAGGTGCCCCGGCTCTCACAGGCAAACCCAGTCGCACCCTAAAGGGCTATCAGCTGAAGTCACTTTGTAAGAGTGTTGTAGTTTGTGACCACCAGGGGGCCCCGGAGAGCAGGACGAGTTTTATAATGCAAAGAGGAAGTGGCGAGGGCGCCGTTGGCAAATCACAGAGAGAGACGTATGGGCAGAAATGTGTGCCTAATAGAAGGAACTGAAGCTGAATCATTTCTATTTTAATTTCTGGGTTTGAATGACTTTAATTTATTGGATTGAAACCATTCAAATAGACTTGAAGTTGAAATATCTTGAAGTTAAATTCAGTTGCTTTGATGTGATCCTCGCTGAAAATGTGACTCTTTACGTTCAGTTTTCACTTTCAAGTTCAGATTTATTGGAATACGGTTTCAAGCTAATAAATTCAAATTGCTGTCACATTTGTTGAAGTTGAGAAGAGAGAGATTGATTGAAATTCAAACTTTTGTTGCATTTATTCAAGTTGATAAATTCGAGTTCAAACACGAAACGACTCAGATTCAGTTTCCAGCAGCTCTCGTTTTTTCTGGCCGCGCAGAAGACTGAATGTTTAAGGAGAAAGAATGTGAACGTGTTGAAGAGATTGTGACGCTGGAGGTCAGTTGCATGTAGCGGACCGTCTATTTTCTGCATCCACACTTTGGTTTCCTCCCACATGACTTCGCCCAAAACCGCCGGGGGGCTCCTGAATGTATCGTCCCTTTTTGAAGTGCTGTACAGTATCGTCCACCCACCATGTTTGCACTTCCATCTGAAACCTTCATCCTCCTCCTCCTCTTCCTCCTCCTCCTCCTCCTCCCTCTTCAAGGTCTTTAAAAGTTGTGAGTCTCCTGGTTTCTGCAGACCTTGGTCCTCCTTGCACTTGTAGATACTTTTTATTTATAGAAGGTTACCTGAACCGAACACTGAGTATTTCTGTTCCTCCCATCGGAGTTTTTTATAGGCAACAGTTAGGGTGTAACCTCATCTTGGTATAACGATATTAATTCATGTGTTGTTACTCTTCTTCTTCTTCTTCTTCTTACTGCCATTACGATTGATTTGTATTAAGCAATAAGTTCTTTTCTTGTTCGGGTTGTTTCATATTGTGGGAGTCTTCCCTCTCAGCTTGTTTCTATTCACAACAGTAGAAGGACTCTTACCTGCTTCGTCGTCATTCAGATGTGTACTGTAAAGTTTAATTATATTCTATATAAATACATATACAAAGTAAGCTGTCTCTGTCTGTGTACTGATCGAGTAACAAGTAAGAAATAAAGACTTTACGTCAGAATCTGAGGCGTCGCGTCGTTTTTCTGTCGTGTTCTGAGCGACTTTCACCTGCAGAGCTGTGACATTTCCTGCATGAATTATGTATAATTTTAATGTTATTTATTGGAAAGATGCATTTACACAATAAAAGTCACAGAGTCTGCATACAATCTTAGAAAATCAACACTTTCCATGGAGATTGTTGACCTTTTTTTTGGACCAAGTGAACTTTTTGAATCAGAGCCTGCAGTTAAGGACCAAATCATTCACAGCCACGACACATTTAGATTTACAGTGATTTTGATTTTTTTATTAGACCAACAGGTTTCCTCTGGCTGGAAATGACATAAACAAGTGACAAAAGACAGGAACACTAGCCTTGGAATGCAAGAGACTGATGACAGTGACTAGTGTAGGAATGCTAGTTGCTAGCCTACTTATGCTAGTTGCTGGCTTAGGACTGCTAAGTGCTAGCTTAGAGATGCTAGTGACTAGCCTTGGAATGCAAGTCTCCAACATAGAGATGATAGTGACTAGTGTAGGGATGCTAGTTGCTAGCCTACTTATGCTAGTTGCTGGCTTAGGACTGCTAAGTGCTAGCTTAGAGATGCTAGTGACTAGCCTTGGAATGCAAGTCTCCAACATAGAGATGATAGTGACTAGTGTAGGGATGCTAGTTGTTAGGTTTTCAATAACGTGATAGTAGGTTCGCATTAACTGAAAAAACAAGTAACACCTGAGCTACCGACTAATATTAGTAGGGTGAAAAAAAAATGCTTGGCTACTGTCTAGTAATCCCAGTCATTAGCCAAATGATGCTAGTGACTAACGTATTGCTAGCAAAAGGGATGTCAGCAACTGTCCTAGAAATGCTAGTACTTGGCTTTGGAATACTAGTTGTTGGCCTAGAAATGCTACTGGCAAGCTTAGGGCTGCAGGTCAGCAGCTAAGGGACGCCAGTGACCAGCTCGAATTTGCTTGTTTTGAAAATGTCTCTTAGTAAGGCTAGTTGCTCGTCTATAGATACGAGTGTGAAGCCTGGAAAAGCTGGTAACAAATCTATGATTGCTACTTGCTAATGTAGAGCTGCCGGTGACTAGCATTGACACGCAAGTCAATCATTGAAGGATGCTAGCACCATGTCTAAAAAATGCTGGTTGCTTGGATATTAGTTTTTGACCTAGAAATGCAAGTGATTGGCTTAAAAATGCTAGTTGTTAGTGTAGTCATACTAGTACCTAGCTTAGGATTGTTTGTTGCTAGGCTAGGGATACTTGTGATTAGCCTAGAAATGCTGGTGACTAGACTAGGAATGCTAGTTGCAAGGCTAAAGATAATACTAGTAGAGGGATTCTAGTAACCAGCTTAGGAATGCTAGGGACTAGCATAAGAGCGCTAGTAACTAGCCTAGCAATACTAGTTGCCAGCCGAGAGATGCTCAGGACTTGATTACAAATACAGGTGACTAGCAAAGGAAGGCTAGTTGCTAACCTTGGGATACACGTGCAAATCTTGAAAATTACAATTAATAAGCTTTAATTGAATACATTAAAAGAACAGCAAAGGAGAGAAATGAATTTATTGAACAGACAGTTATTGTATTGGTGGAATCATCCAAACTGAGACGTGTACAAGATGCTGAATTTAGCGTATAATCAATCATGTGTAGCACTGATATTGTCACACCACACCGATGCTTCCTGCCTTTATTAACATCACATTACTGAAGAAAACATTTAAAAATAATCACCTGATAAGTCAAAGATAACCTCATAAGAGACCATGTAGGAGTCACTGTAGGCGTGTAGCATCTGGTCCACAGGGCTGTAGTTCAGGGCCTGGATGTTGGTGGCCATCTTGTTCATGAAGATGCCGATGTTGAACCTCTCCTTCCCTGTCACCGTGTCGAACGAGTAGAAGATCTCCTCCATGTCTTTGCTAACGTAGCGCGTAGCGTAGAGCACGCCGCAGGCCATGAAGGTGTTGGTCACCCCCAGCTTGTAGACCGAAGTGCGCCAGGTTTGGCCCAGCGTCGGCGGTTCACTCTTCTCCAGCTTGGAGAGAACCAGGTTCCCAAAGTCCTGGGAGGTGGTGTAGATCACCCAGACACCGGACTCATCTGTGGCCAGGTCCAGGTCGGTGTACGGGTAGCACTCGTCCAGGTGGCAGAAGTTCCCCTTTGAGTTGTACCTGAAACAGAGGACAGAAATCGTGTTTCAATAAACAGACAGAAAATTTTGAAAACACTCGTGAGAGAGGCCACCAAGAGACCTCAGAGTTCTCTGACCTGTGAATTATGACACATTTTAATTCGGGATGTTACCAGACTCACCTGGTGCCTTCGGGCAGCTCTACATTGGTCACAATTTTGGTGGTGAGGTTGAATCGACAAACTTGTCGTTGGTTGTAACAGTTGTAGTACAGAGCTCCTGCATACAGAACCACATTCGGACCCTGGATGGTGTTGGTGGTCGGGTTGGAGGAGTGGATCTGGACATTACCTGCAAGAAGAGCAAAGTAATAGCACTTTTATTTAAGTCCAAGTTTTCCAGAATCATTCACTGCTGCTACTTTAACATCAGCACAGTATTTATTCAGACAAAAACAGCATTCTGTTGCTGCAAATACTCACTACAGCTGCAAATGTGTATCAGTCCTCCGCTGAAAGTAGTCCCAAGCAAAGCTGTCCTCTATTCTAGTTTCAGAGTACAAGTGGCACACCTGTAAATGCTAATGACTAGCCTGGAAATAGCAGTTGGATAGCAGGATGGAAGTGACTAGCCTAGAACTGGTAGTTGCTAGCTAGGCATGCTTAGGATGCACAAAGAAACACTAGCAGCTAGCAAAGGGGTGCTAATAATCAGTCTACGGATACTTGTTGCTATCTTGGAAAAGCTAGCACCTAGCTTAGGTTGCTAAGCTCGGGGTAGTAGTGAAAAGCCTAGAAATGACAGTGAGTAGATGAGGGATAGCATTTGCAAAGCTAGAGATGCTAGTGACTACCTTACAAATTGCTAGGTTTTAGATGCTAGTTCCTAACAGAGGGATGCTCGTGACCAACTTAAGAATGTGAAGGACAAGCTTCAAAATGCTATTCAATGATCTTCACGATTCATGGTCTTCACTCTGTGATCTCAGCAGTAAGGCTGCAGGTCTTTGGTCCATCAGAAGAAGAACCCAGGTCTTTACCTGGAACGTTCACGCCCGCGATCAGCGAGCTCAGACTGTGGTACTGACGGACGTAGTGGGCGTATCTGTTGCTGGACGTCATCATCACCAGCCAGTACCAGTTCTCCTTCCCATGTTCTGGTTTAGGATCTCGACCCCAGGCTCCGTACTTGTAGGAACCCGGATACTCTCCTGCCGTGTAGATCCTCGGCTCAGAGATGTTCAGAATCTCACCGTGAGGACACGAACCTGAAAGCAGGATGTGGAGTTAAACATAGAAGTCCAACATCAGTGGTCCCACAGCGTCTCTGGTGGTTCTGGACTCACCGTGTGGAGGCTTGGTGGGTGGAGGTGCTGGATGGAGTCCGTTCCTGCACTGGTCCAGGTCTCTCCTCAGACGCTGGTTGGCCTGTTGTCTCTTCACCACCTCCTGGGTGTCGAACTTCTCCAGCTGATCCATTTCTTCTCGAACAGCCTCCATCTTAAAGGAAATCACCAAAATGAATCAGAACACAGTCCGTTTGGACTCGTTCTGAGTCATTCTGGACAAATTCTGAGAAGGTTTGGAGGATCTGAGTTGTTCCGAACAAGTTGTGAGTTATTTGGTACCAATTTTAAGCCCCTTTGGACACATTTTTGAGGCATTTTTTACACATTTGAGTCGTTAAGTCAGTTTTATTTCTAAATATGGATGTATGGAGTCACATGGGTGCCATTAAAAATATGCAAAAGGACAACAAAAGCTCAATTCTACACACTGTCTGGTGTTGTGTTGTGTTGCGTTGTGTTACCTGCCGTTCGGTGTCAGCAGTGAGTCTGTGATGCTCCTCTGTGGTTGCGTTGAGTTTGTCCAGCAGCAGCCGGATCTCCGTCATCTCGTTTTGGATGACGTGCAGGCTGAGGACTCCGTACAGATCTCCGTCGTCCTCCTTCTCCAGGACCGACACGTCTTCATGCAGCTGGGCCAGACGTCGGTCCAAACCCAGCAGCAGACTCTGCAGCTCCACAGTCTGCAAGAACAGCAGCGGGTTCATTTTACTCTGTACGGTTTGGTTCAGGAAGCTTTACCTCAGCGTTACCTTGGACGGAGTGACTTTGGTGTTGCAGTCGGAGGCCTCGTCCTGCACCGTCTTCAGCTTGTTGTGAGGAAACATTTGCTCTGAGCTGCTGAACTCGCACACACACTGACCAGGTGGGTTCGTCTGAAATCAGGAACAAAAAAAAAAAAAAACTCCACTAGAAATGAAGTGATGGAGGTTTAAATAAAGGATGTTTTCTGGTTTCTTACCTGCCGAGTGACGCCGATCAGAGCCCACAGAGGAAACACCGCCTGCAGCAGCTTCATGGTGGATCAGAGTTAACGAGGTTTTGATCCGGACGATGTTCAGCAGCAGCTTCTGTCTCGTGAACCCTCCTACTGCCAGCTGCATATGAGCGCGACGGCTCACTTCCTCTTTGCGGTTTTTAGTTGCAGCAACACGAGGAATTTACTACCTGATGAGGAAACGAGATTCCAACACACACGGAACTTCAAATATCAAATCACAGTTTCCTCCTGAGCTCCTCAGAATCAGATGGTTCTTCATCTGCGGTGTCCAAACACTGAGTCTGCTTTCTGTTGCTTTCATGAATTATTCTATATCTATCACCAACTTTGAGCATCAATATTATGGGATGTATTACAGTTTAAACAGGAAAACTGCAGCAGTTCAACGTCTATGATTCACTCTGTGCAAACAAAGTCGGTCAAAATTTGACAGTAAAAAATGGATGTAGAACTGATCTGGTGTCAGGTTCTACCAGAACCCAGATGTGTTCTTCCTCCTAAATGTCATGTGTCTATCTGCTGGACTGATGAAGTTCTGAGGCTAAAAAATGATGGAAAAAGTCCATAAAAAGGACGTTTTTTAATAATCATGGATAATTTTTGAAGCATCTGCAAATTGTCGCTCAATTTGGATCCATTTTTAGGCCATTTTGTGTCATTCTTAAGTGTTGTCGATAGTTTTCGTGTCATTTTGAACAAGTTTTCA